ATAATCAATGTAATTCATGTGAATAATTTTCTTTATCATAGTATTAATAGCTGATAAAGTTACACAAAGAATTAAAAGGTCATAACATATTAAAAAGACCCAGTATAGAATCTTTGTATGCAATCTTTTGTCTACATAAAGAAACAAAATCTAAATATATCTATAACAAAAAGATAAGAGGAACTGATTATTTCACAATCTGCAACAACAAAATTTCTAACAACAATAATACAGTTAAATGTAATATATATATATACATTACAATGTAATGATTAATTATAACAAAACAATGGATGTACATGTATTTATATTTATAATAATATTATTATATTCATAATAAAATTTTCATATTAATTTGAAATAAAAATCCTTTATAAAGAGATAACTTTCTCTTTTATTAGACTTAAACAATTTACCTAATCAACTTAAAAATCACATAAACATCCATAATTATAATAAACAAAAATTAATTAATTAACAAATATGTTAGTATTCAAAGAAAATAGTTAGTATTCAGGGAAAACATGCTAATAAAGCAATATGACGAAACGCTGACCCTATTTCCAATCATTCTTTCAATATCACACATTACAAAATCGCGGGTAATCCCCCATTTCCTTTAAACTCATAGAATTTCGATATAAACTTTCCTGTTTGCGTACGAGATTACCTTCTTCAGCGAATTGTTATTGTAAAACAGCGATGAAACCGGTTTAAAGCAGATCCTTGACTTATAAAATAATCGAATAACTACTAAAAGTACGAAACTGTCATCGAGACAGTGTCAGCGCCCATGTGACATTTGTCTCATAAAAATGTGATTAAATGTCAATTGACCTATATACACAGACATATATTCTTACACGAAACTGCGTATTAAACTTATAAAAAGAATCGCTAACGCGAATACAAAGAAAAAATAGTCAAGATTAGTTATGTTGTACTAAATATCTATAGCGATTGCACAACTGCATTCAACGTAGGTAACATACATGTATATAAAAATATCTGTTTTTCCAATCGTTACCGGATAATACGTTAATTTGTTAACTTTCCAAACATACATATTGTTAACGACATTATAAGGGAAACGTATGAGACGTCAAGGATTCTCAATGATTGGTAATTTTTTCAAAAATACGGGAAGGACAATCGCATTCGACAAGTCAGGTGACTATTTTCGTCTGGTGCAACAATTTTACGTAACCAAAGGACTATTTTGGTTTTAGAAAGTAATTTTTCCCTACAAAAATTGGTTTCCGTACAGAGCGATTAATGATGCGTACTATAAATTACATAATCGTCTTTTTTTTTTAGAAAACCGATTAAAAAAAAGAGTCAAACAGAAGCGATGCAGATTCACGTACCTGATGTTAACGCAACCAACTATGACAGGCCGTCCACCATTTGCAACTCACAAGTAGACCGAACTACGTCCTCCTAAAATATATCCGACAAACAGACCTCAGCGCACCTAACGACTAAATATCGCAGGCCCGTCTCACGATAATCGGATTTAAAAATTTACCGAGTGTTACGCTAACTTTTCGTTGCTGTTCTCTATCATCAGAAGATTTTACAGCTGCTTTTAAATTCGTTACCAACTGACGAACATTTCTAATTCACTACACATTCCTCATGAATATGTATTACACCCCTAAATAATGATAACAAAAGTGAATGTGCAGAACTCTAATGCACGGACAATTGTTCTATTGAAAATTTCAAAGAACATTCTTAAAAATTTGATTAATTCAATATAAATATAAATAATTAGATTATGAGCTTTTAAATGAAAATATTATACACTTAAATGTATGTACGTTTCAGAGTTAACATTCGAATGATACGATACATATTATAAAAACCATTAAATAAAAATTGAACTCTCCCAATTATATTAAAAAAATGACATCTAGTTGAATAACAGATTAAATTGAATCTGTGCAACGCCTGTGTTGTATTGGAGATATTGTTTGTTAAAAATCTAGATTTTCCACAAATGGCTTTTAACAAATGATAAACGAGTCAAAGACAAAAGATTCGTGCATAAAAATGTAATCGGTATACGATAAGAGGGTAACCTGGGAATTCCAGTATTCTCGTATTTTTATAACTTCCTTTTATTTTTGTAGTATTACAAATTTTTTACCTATTCGAATATTATCGATTCGTTTTATTATTCTATAATGATTATTCGATAAATAAACGATGAAGTTTAACTGAGGAAAAAATGGATGATAATAAGACGAAAAAAGGCTTTCCTGGTAACTATATTCCTTCTTTATTTTTCAATATTTCACCGCCCACTCTACTACGAAAATATAACTCGTAACACGCATAGTTTAAAAATGTCTATACATAAAGATATCTGCCTTAACAACAGACTATTAATAGTTATTCAATGTTTTTTCCATTGAATTCTCTTAGTTCAAGGCATGGAAGAATGGTTATATCAAACAAATATAAAATGTCACTCCCTAAAGTCCCATATGGATTATATGAAGTTAGCATGCCATAATATACAACAAGAAATACTTAAACCAAAAAACACATTTGATGTTCCAAGTTATCATAATCCTAAAATTAAACTTTCTGATACAGATGAATCTGTGACTTCCAGACAAATGAATTGTAATGATTCATTAGAAAAATCATCTAATGCCACATACGTATCTATAAATGACAATGGTATAAGATAATATTTTTTATTATTTTGCAGTGAGGAAGATAAACTAGAAAATTGTTTTTGTTATAGGAAATTTGGAAAACTACAGTCCATCCCAGAGTCTAAAATTAAGAAATATTTTACCTAAAGTTAATGTACAATACAGGGATAAAGAGAAAATAGAAAATAAAAGTATTGAAATAAAATTAGAAGCTGAAAAAGATGACGGTTCTTATGAACAAGTGCAGAGTCCTCGTATTCAATGTACACCTTTATTGCCAATTCATAAAGACTTTATGGTATTGTATATAATATTTATTTGTTGAAAATATATTTTAGGGAAAAAGATTGCCTGTAATTATATATATTTATAATATTTTATTAACAGTGTGAAAAACAAAATGACACGTGGCATGACTCATATCAACAACACCTAACAGAATATTCACCAGAATTAACGCAAAATATGGATCACTCGGCAAAATCTTTCAAAGAATCAATTATAGGTAATAAGAATAAATTAAATATCCATGGTAATGTGAAAAATGGAACTGGTGGTAAGAGTAAAGTTTATAAAAAAAATGAGAAGAAAGAAAAAATAGCTTTTTCCACATTATCAAGCAAAAAGAATTCTGTGTCTAAAATAGATGATATTGTTTCATTAAAATTAAAAAAAAGAAGAAGAAAATTACACAATGCTAATTCAAAAAGTACTGTTGCTACAAATTGCACTGGAAGAAAAGATCTGAAGAAACGAAAACAAAAAGGTATGTGTTACAAATATTGTATAAATTAATTATATATTACTTATTATATACCTTCAGGTGTTATTAATACTCGTCATACATCAAAGTATCCTCAGGCCTCTAATGAAGTGGTTGAGATTTATCATAATTCAGCATTAAAGGATGGTAGTACTTCTCTCAGTTTTATTAACTACTCCAAACTTGATTCTCATACGAACTATAGTAACAAATTATCCTTAGGTGCAAATAAACAACAAAATATTCATCCGAAAACAAAATGTGATGATACTAATTATCAATGTAACTATAATACTGATAAAGGCAATGGATCAAATAGTCCTTTGAAACAATGTCAGTCCAAACAGAAAATTGAGTAAGTTTTTATAGCAATAAGTAGAAGTATAATTAAATATGACTTATATCTTCAATTGCAGAGAAAAGGGAACAAACTTTCATAACCAGAATTGTGTATTGGAGTTTCCAACTGCTCCAGTGCATGCAATGAAAAAATGTAATTCTCATCAGTGTCAGCAGTCAATTATGCCAGCATCATACTGTAATCCTATGATTACTCATAGTTATGAAATGCCAACATTGGCTTCAAAATTGAAAAGAGTAAATCGTACATACTTTAGTAGATTCACTATTAAAAACATACCATTTGTAGTGGGTACTTCAGTGACACCAAGCCACAATTTAGGTTTAAATATACAGCAAGTACGTTGGCTAATGTAAAAATGTTAAAAAAAGAACGAGTATCATACATTCTTTTTATTCAAAAGGTTTTAAGTATAATGAAAACAAGACAATCTACACTAAATGGGATTACTCCTCTCCTCATTCGTAAACTTAGTAGAGGTATGAAGCCTGTATCTCCTTTTACGGATCAAATGAATGATCAGTATACTAAGTTACCTCCAATGAATTCTCGACTAATTAATACATTTGTACACAAAGCAAATTCGTTTCTAAATGAACCTTTTAATTTATTTGAAAATGAAAGTGTATCTTTAACTTATGGTGCTAAAACATTAAATAATTTCAATCTAAACGTGAATTTAACGAATATGGAAGAAACAGCCATTAATGGAAAAATTGAACACGAGAGTTTCCTGAAAAAGGTTTATATAAAAAATAAATATACAATAAACATATTTTATTTTGATATATAAAAGTGGGATGCTTTCAGGATACTCAATCAGAGAATCAATTGAATGCAGAACAAGTATTGCACAACACAGACAATGCAAAAGTATTAAAAGTATTTTCATCTCAGCAAAATGTAAAGACGCAAATGAAAATTCAGAATACTCATCAAATACAGTCAATAACGTGTAGAGTAAGTACATAAAAAAAAATTAATAAATGATTAAAAATTTTAATATAAGAAAATTATAGGAAAATCAAAATTCCAATGGAATACGGGAAGTCCTTATCAATCTGCATGATCAGTTTGAAGAAATGAATACGTGAGTTGTATTTATCAATGTTAAAATCCACAAATTTATATAAACTAACATATTTATCATCGATTTTAGAAAATACGAGAAGTTACAAACAGAATTAGAGAAGAGTGATGACAAAAAATTGAAGGGAGAAGTATCACAACTCGAAAAGGAATTAAGCATAAAGGAGGATGAGATAAACGCCGTTATTAATTTATATAAAGAGGTAGAAAGATTTTATATAATCATAGTTGATATATATTTAAAAAATGTGTACTATTTATTATCAGGTAATGGCATTAAAACAACAAATGAGACTGCTACAGGAAAAGAATAGTTACGTTTGCATATCAAGTGATGTTCCAATAGGACTGAGCAACCCTCATTCTCCCATACCTTTTACATTAACTAAATCTAATGGAACAATTCTTCAACAAAAACATCCTAGAAAAGGAAGTACCATTATTACAACCAGAGAACCTACCTCCCTTCGATTAGCTGGACTCTTAAGGCAAATTCAAACATTTCAAAAACAATTGAGACTATCCTCGTGATAACGATACATGAAATTCTCTAGGTGAGTTTCATTCATCAATAACTATACTTTTTGTATGAAAATTATCGATCTTTTATGTGTATGTATATATATATATATATACATACATACATACATAATGAATCCATAATAAATCCAGGACACTGCTCTATTCTTTACATTGAAATAATTACAAAACAACATAAATAAGTGACACTGCTGATTAATATTCGTCATAAGCACGGACCCGATATCTAGTAGAAACTCATTATTACAAATATACAGTGTACAGTAAATAAAATTTATAACACGTTCCCCTGAACAAATAATCAAGTTTCTCAAGCGCATTTCTCACACACTCGTATCATTAAAAAAGGATGGAATTTAAATGAAATATATCAGGATTGCTTATTATAGTGAGGAAAATATTTGTAGTGGTTCGTATTCTCCTTTTATTCGATTCTGCGTGCTATCTCTTATAACGTATAATATTGATTTGTATATGCATATGGTCTTATGTATTTATGTATGCAACTGCTTGTATCTATACATACCGTGTATATGTATATACATAATCACACGTTTACGAACTTGAAGGATAATTAACACTTTCGCTAATTATAATTCATCCCTTGTCTTTTACCGTCAGTTTTTATGCGCCTATGTCTAATACATGATCGAACAGAAAACTTACCGTTAACATATTAATTTTTATCGTTCGGTGTCAGCACTAATCTCGTGAAAAATTTGTTATTTGAACCGTTGTCGCGAAACGTGTCGTTCGTTTCGTTTAATCAGAATTCTGTCTGTATATCCGTGTCGACTAATATTGTCAACGCAACACGAAACCCGATTATTTCTCACAAGCAACTGCACAGATCCGTTTCATTCTTTTCTCGTCGCGGATCATTTTCGCACCCGCGAAAAAGAGAGACCTCGTCTCCTACAAGCTAGAAAAATCTCCTCCACACGACGTTAATACAAAATGTAGTCTTATTTCTAAGACGTTACTCTCTTCCTTGTTCTACTTGTAATGATCACTGCCCGTACACACGAAATCTATCAAAATAAAATATTTCTGTGATATCGAATATAAAATAAGTTTCTTTCTGCACCGATCGGTTCGGAACACGAGTCGCTGTGATAATCACTGGAAATCGCGGAGACGGGAAATTTTTCCTGTACACGCGTAATCCCGCGAGTGAGAGAGGCAGTTCACACGCCGCTCGTATCTTTGACCCGAGTTTCTTTTTTTAAAAGTACCCACGACGATTAACAGTCCACGGTGCTCCTTTGAAGTGAAATATTTTTAGAAAACGAACAACCGATCGAGCTGTAAATATTCTTCAGCGTTCTCCGCAGTTTTTTTGATTATTCCACACCAACTCGTTCCTTTTACAAAAAGTATGCAGCGTCGCTTAAATTACCATCATCGATTCATGTTCCTTTCAGCAGATCATCGATCTGGATCACCTCTACAGAAGAGAGGAGACGGCCGAAAGAGTTCTCTCGTGTTCAGAAGTCGTTTACACGGAACAAAGACAACGAAATCCTTCCCATGCACTCTCACATGAACGCAAACA